CGGCGAGACTCGCTCCGTGCAGCCGCGGCAGGGAAGGGGCGGGACGGGGGCTCGCTGGGCGGTTGTTTTCACAAAATCTGCCATGGCCATTGTGCCTTTTAAAAAGAGGCCGGTCAGGTGTCGTGGTTGTACCCGTTTGAGACTGGGACAGTAAGGGCCCACTTGAAAGTTGGGGTTCCTCGAAACACGGAGGGAATTGTGCTCCCGCCCGGCCGGGATTGCTGAGGGTGGGTTTCTATCGGGGCACTACGTCGTGTGATAAACCGGAGACCCTGCCATACGGGAACTGAGGGCACACGGCATGAACGGAGGGATCTGGTGAAGCCTTTGTTCGTATGCTAGAGAAAACATGTCCCTAAAACCTTGCTCTTGGGCTTGTTTTTTTTTTTTGTGGAGTGGGTTTGCTTGTTTGTTTTCAAATCCTGTAGTTAAAATACTTTTGAAAACGCTTAATGTTTTGGAGCGGCAAAGAGTTACAGAGCTTAGCAAACCTGTGTACCGTTCTGAGGAATTTCTTTTCGCATGTTTCGACAAAGTAAATACATTTTTTCTACCTCTGTTTCTATAAACACTGGGTGATAATGTGTTCCTGTCTTGCAGATAGGTGGTACGGAATTGCTTTGTTCCCGTAGAAAGCCCAGTAACACTTATGCATGGAGCCTTAATGGCTGTTCTCACGTGTCTCTTAACTTGCAAATTTGAACTCCGAGGTTCGTTTCCCTGAAAGAGTTTGAGAAACCTAAAAGGAACTGGGGGGGAGGTGGGCGAGCGATTTCTTTTTTTTCCTGTTTTGCTGGAGCCAGGGGAAGATAGGAAGGTGCTTTTCTTGTTTCCAGTCACACGTGTACTTTGTCCACCTCTCGGGGCTTCTTACAAGACACTGAGGTGAAAAATCTGGTCTTGTGTGGTTATATATAGGTTGTTGCTTTGTTGTGTAACTCTAGCAGGTTCAGGAACGTGAAACTGGCAGTGAGCATTCTTGGGAAATCACAGAGAAAAGGAATGTGTGTGAGCTGTGTGCTTGTCTTTTGCTCCCCCGTACCTGATTAAGTTCTTTTGGCTCAAGGTTTTTTTGTGCCCATGGCGCTTTTTTTTAATAATTTAGAAAAAGGGAAGTTTGTGTCTGGGAAAAATGGAACCTGGAACCAGTTATTTCATTTTATTGCCGGTACAGTGTGTGTTCTTAAAAGCCTCTTGACCTAATTTGAATCATAGAATCATAGAATACCAGGTTGGAAGGGACCACAAGGGTCATCCAGTCCAACCTCTCAAGGTAAAAGTACAGTTTAAATGAGATGAGTCAGCACCCTGTCAAGCTGACTCCTAAAACTGACCAGTGTAGGGGAATTCACCACTTCCCCAGGAGATTGTTCCAATGTCTGATTGATCTCATGGTAAAAAAATTTCTTCTGGAGTTCAGTCGGAATCTCTCCAGAAGCAACTTGTGTCCATTACCCCTTGTCCTTTCGATGTGACTCCTTGTGAAAAGGGAGTCTCCATCTTCTTGGTAGCCACCCTTTATGTACTGGTAGGTGGTGATAAGGTCCCCCCTAAGCCTTCTCTCCCCAAGGCTGAACAGGTCCAATGTTCTCAGCCTTTCTTCATAGTCCTCTGATAATCCTCATGGCCCTTCTCTGGACCCCTTCCAACCTGTCTGCATCTATTTTTGTATAGCAGGGACCAAAATTGGACATGGTACTCAAGGTGTGGTCTGACCAGTGCTGAGTAGAGAGGGATGATGACTTCTTGATCTCTGGTGATGCCCTTTTTAATGCAGCCCAGCATCCTGTTGGCTTTCTTTACAGCTGTAGCACACTGGTCGCTCATTTGTTTGGGGCTTTGTTTAATTTTTGTTTGTTTTTCCTTTTAGACCGTTTTCTGGCATAGGTCTTTTGTGTACCACTGCTCTGGTTCCCTTCAACAAAGTGCAATGGCGTAGAGCAGTTGCCTTAGGCCTGAGAGCTCTGCCTCCCTTTTTGTATTAATACAACTCCTTTCCTGTGGCAATTAAGGCACGGACTTCACTTAACAATACAAGCAGAGACCTTTGTTATATCCCAAACTCCATATTTATGTGTTTCTTAACTGTCCACACGCAGGCAATGCAGTTACCATTGGTTCGAACCCTGTGTTCACGCAGCCGAACTCTCTCACATGGTTCAGGCAATGCAGCACACACAGCTATGATTGGTGCAAGCAATGTAGTGCATAGCATGCCATGTACTGACTTCAGTGGTTATCTTCCACAACATTGTATACTCCACAAGCCACCTTGGCTCAAGGGCAGAGTGTGGACTCATCAAGATTGAAGTTGTAACAAAACTGGAACTCGCCCATCCCCACACTTTCCTAAAACTCCAGTGAAGTGGCGGCAGTACTTTCTTTGCAATAGTCTGGATTAGCCTGCGGTTTGTGGCTGAAGCGTGTACCTGACAGTCATCTGAACTGTAAATACCTTAACTATGATAGCTCACATCTGCCAGGTTTCTGGGTTGGACGTTGAATTTGTCACTGGCTGCGTCTTGCTCACTTTGGCGTGTGAAAGGAAGTTGTCTGCCTACCTGTGAGGTTAAGCATGGGTTTGCAGGCAATGACCCATGATGCAAAACCTATGTAATGCTTTCTTCAGCTTCCTAAGAGAAGGCAAGCCAAAGATCTACAGATATGTTCTACTATAGATTAAAGGATTCTACTTTGCATTAGAGAAAGACCAGCCATCTTAGCACAACTGTTAAGAAACATGTATTTTTAATTTTTTCCCCATGAGGGCATGGTGTGGCTCACAGTGAAGGAAGGGCTAGCTCTTGGTATATGCATGTTAATGTATCCTGGGGATCTAATCTTTAGGGGCATGTTATATTTGAAAGATGAAGGTTAGGTTAATGTTACCAAATAAATTAATTCCATTTTAGAATATAAAATACGTAGTTCTAAATGATATAAATTCCCAAGTTCCTCATGTTAATACAATATTTGAGTAGGAGTCGTTGCCACTTCCTTGGTTGTCCTTGAATCATTACTTTTTGTTTTAAATAACTACAAACTCTTCCATACAAGTCTGTACATAACTCTTTGTTGCACTGAAATTTTATTTTCTCATTGAAAAATAAAATCTTGTTTAAAAGTTTGGGGAAATAGTTAAAAGTTGCTACGTTTCATTGATCTGGGAATATTTTTTCTTAACATTTGCATCCTGCTTTCCAAACCTCTATCTCTCACATTAGCAGTTGAATTATAGTATTCTTTTGTTCTTGATCCCATTTTAACTTTACAGTGTGTGGGTTTTTTTCAATTTAAAATAAAAGAAAATGTAAAAGTTATATATAATTGTTGTTAATGCACTGGACGTAATTAACACCTCATTTCTTTTCTATGACAGCCAGCCAGAAGAGCCCATTAGGATGAGTGAAAACAATAATATTGACATTCAAAGTCCACGTAAGTAAGGTTTTTATTAAGTGGTTACAAAAATATTTAATCTGGGTATATAATACAAATTACATCCTGCTTTATTTGAGCTCAAAGAATAGATGGATTTTCAGTAATTGGACTGTGATGGAACCACTTGTCTCAAGGAGTGAAAAAGAAAAACTCTAAGCGTCCTTGTTTGATGTAATTGGATTATTTAAAATTGGTTTTTTCTGCAGTTATTTGAAGTAACCAACCTTGGGAATTCAGCTGCCAAGTCGCATACAGCTGTGTTTGAGATGTATCATTCAAGGCATTCTTAGGCTGAAGCAGTACCTTTATTCTCATAACTACTATGACTGTTCTTGATGGTAGAATATTGAAAATGTATCTTATATATCTCCACAGAGTTAGTATCTTCCCTTCAGTTCTCAGTAACTCTGTGGAAGTATGTTAGTGGGCTAGGAACTGCAGAAACTAAGAAATCCTCAAGGTTTTAATTTATTCCAGTGTTATCTCAGATCTCTGAATGTTTTGAAACTAGCATGTGTTTTATAATAGCACTGATAGCTTATGACTTGATACAGTCAGGATTTCATTCATGTGCTTTTCTCAAAGGTTATCACACAGGTGTACACAGAAATGTTTAAGTTGCTTCATGATTCTAATCTGGTGGTGTCGTGATGTAAAAACAATTAGATGACATTTCACACATCTGGACATTGTTGACTGATTGATAATTATCTTTGGGTATTTTGGGAAGAACATTTCAGTTGGGAGCACAATTGGCTTGTGAATTTAGCTTGGGTGATAGCCCTCTCCTGAATCGGGAGGCAGGTGGAACTGGTGGAGTAGTTCTTATTAGGAACTAGAGGAGGAGTGAGTAGTACTCTCTTCTGCATTTACTATGGAATTCAACATTTAGAAGAGGGCGCTATCTACTGTCTTTTATCCGGTAATCTACTTCAAGAAGCATGTGATTAAAAGAGATAAATGTTACTGCTCTACAGCTGATCCATAGTAATTCCAGAACATTCACTACAATTATGAACATGATTCTATATTTTAGCCTGTGTTCTCTGTGGATGGACAGATGACTGCCCTGAAAAGTATGGAGAAAAAAAAACCTATGTGGAATACCATCTTACTGTTCATTATTACTGTTTGGTAAGTATGTGGTATTGATCTTGGGGCTTGTCTGTTCTAGCTGGGGGAAAAAAAAAGTAAATGCAACAAGTGTTAAATAGTGATAACCTGTCCAAACGGTTATTGTAACAGTTTCGTTGTTGTTATACAAGTGTTGTTGTAAAGCTTGAACTGTCATCTATAACTTGTAGATTTTTGAAGGCTTATACTTTTCAGGTGCAGCAGATGAAATAAATCCCAAAAAGCCTTTTTTCAAAGCTAAATTCTGATTATGATCCATTTTAAAGTAATTCCTTAGTTAATTCTCCCAACCTATCATAGCAATGAATGCAGATGAAGGAGAAAGGGAACAGATTGCACCTACACCTTTTTTTCCTGCAAGAGAAAAGTAGTTTCAGAATTCAGGGTGTGAAAATTCCACCCCTTGTGGAAAGTTGCCATATTTGTTCTTGTTTCTCATTAGTTCTTGTTTGGCTGTGAGTTTTTCTCTGGCATTACACAGGTCATTGTAACACTTTAATAATAGTCCTACTTTTCCATTTAGTCAAATGCACCCTACTGATCATCTATAGCTACAGTATCACTGTTTAGTAAAAGCTTACTATTTGAACAAAGCTATGGATATAAACTACAGTTGTGTGTCTTTTGGTTATCGCACTTGACATTTTCCAATATTTATATTCTTAATATGTACTTAAACCGCATTTCAAACTGTAAATTTTTGCAGGTATTAAATAGTGTGACTACTTAAAAAAAATCAGATATTCTTTGTTAATAAATACAGTTTGACACTTTTTTTCCAACTTGAGAAAAAGTCTCAAGAGTATCAAGAATTATTTGGGGGTTTTGTGGTTTTTTTCTCAACCAGATAATTTTGTCTCTTATATAAGACCATGTGAACTGATAAGGAAAAGTCCTTTCCTGATGGAGTAGAACAGCTAGGAAAGGGCACGCTTCCAACACTGAGCTGAGGTGCTGAAGCCTCAAATTCCTGAATTATAAGATATTTTACTGTTAGGAGCTTCCTGAAGTCATCTTCTAGATTTTGGTCCCCGCTTCATTTTAAAAACAAAATACCCAAGATACAGTGAATATTATATATGAAAGGTGTTGTAGAAAGAAGCCAGTTAGTGTCACAGTTTAATTTTTCTTTGCCAAATGTCTCCCATTTGGAAAAACATTCTTAATTTGGTTTGGTATCAAATTTTACATTTATTCAATTTAAAATGGTGATAAAACTCTGTAGTTCGAAAATGCCACTGTGTTGAAATTATAAAATGAGATTGGAAAGAATATAGGAGGCATCAAGTTGTGAAACTACTTAGTTATTTTGAGGTTGTGATTTTAACTGCCTTACTCAGTAACTTTAATCTAAATTATCATCAGACTCTTCTTACTTGCCTACCTACTTGATTCTGTTTTTATTTAGTTCTCTAAAGTGAATTACTTTTCCTCTTAGATTGCACTTCAGTACAGATGCTTCCTACTGTGTTTCATTATCTCCACAGCACAATTGTCATTCACACTAACTAAACTAATTTAATTTTACTTCCTCTGAAGCTTTATATGCTGAAAGTAATTGTTTGATAATTATCTGAATAGTCTGTATACCTCAAAAAAAAAGAGGTAAAATACACCATCTTGAGCTCTGAACTCTTACATTTTGATGTTATGAAATATTTATTTTCATGTTACTGGTTACTATTCCCCATTGTGTCATATAAGACAAATATACAGATGTTTTGCATCAGGTTTTTTTAATCATTAAAATGTTTGTACACAAGCTTTGTTAGACTAAACTTCTCTTGACAAACACAGTGTAGGTAGTTTTAAATCTTTAGGTAGGTGAATGTTTTAAAATACTCTATTTGTTTTCATAGTTGATGTCAAGTGGCATTTGGCAGAGGGGGAAAGAAGATGAAGGTATAGATGGATTCTTAATCACTGATATTAAAAAAGAAGTAAATAGAGCTGCAAAACTGGTAAGAATGAAGTCTTTGGTATTTACAAGAGGAGAAAAAAAAAGTAACTTTTAAGTGCGCTTAATATAGCCTGTGGGGTTTGTTTTGTTTTCCCCTCCAATGAGCAGTGTGCTGAGCCCATTCAAGCATCTGAATTTTACATTTAAGAAAGCATATTGGGTTTGTGGAAACTACAAGGGGCAATGAAACCTGCAAAAGTCTGCTAATGTTTGTATTTCCTAGGTATCTTGCAGATAAATAAATGAGAGCAAATTACACATGCATAATGCCTTATGACATTGTGCTGAGCTTCAAGCTGACGTTATATATTTTATAAATGCAACTAAACTATAGGTACTCATAAAATAACTTGTATTTTGGCTTGTCACAGTCAACATTCATATAAAACAATACATAATCAAAGTTTGCAAAATAACTATATATCTACTCTCTGAAATAGATACAGTAGTCTTGTTACAGTTACAATCTGTTGACTAATATTCTTTCTTGCATGATTTATAATTTTTCTATTGATTTAATTCCTGTAATTTTCTCAGACTTTAGCTGTTAACATTCTTATTAATATTCATTTCTAAACCAAATTATTTCTAGACATGTAATATCTGTAGGAGAAAGGGTGCTTCAATTGGATGTGTAGCTCCCAAATGCAAGCGAAGTTACCATCTTCCTTGTGGGATAAAAAAGGAGTGTATTTTCCAGTTCATGGAAGACTTCAGGTAAGTTCTGGGGGTTTGTTGATTTTTCATTTTCAATTAATTATATTTGTACAGGAGGCAATTTTTTTTCTTATGGGTTGTCATTGAATGGACTGCTAGAATTATAAGTGACATCTGGGTTGTCTAAGAAAAAATACCTGATTTGTGGCCAAGCATAGTTTATTGCATACCTAGTACCTCTAATATTAAATATATTAAATTTATCATTTAATGCTTCTACAAGTAGTTCTGTTGTCTCTAAAACTGAGCGTTAAGTTCTAATCTAAACTGCAAAATGGTTGGGTTTGGTTTTTTTGTTTGTATACCTCCTGTGCCTCTGTTAAATGGCAATGGTTTGGCTGCCTATATTTTTTTTTTGAGAGAAAAGGAGTATATGTTCTCTGTAATTTACAGAGCATCAGTTGGCAACATGCTTCTTCCTTACTATTGTTCTATTGACTTGCTCTGTTAGATACATAGTTTATTTACATCTGTGTTGTGGTTTAACCCTGGTAGGCAGCTCAGCACTGCACAGCCACTTGCTCACCACCCTCAGTGGGATAAGAGTTGGAAGGGTGAAAGTGAGAAAACTCATGGGTTGAGATACAGTTCAATAGCTAAAGGAAAAGATGCATGCCCAAGCAGAGCAAAATAAGGAATTTGTTTACTGCTTCCCATTTACTTTGGAAGACAAACATCATAACTCCGAGTCTCCTTTTCCTTTCCTTCCTTTCCCCCAGTTTTATTGCTGAGCATGATGTCATGATATAGAATATCCCTTTGGCCAGTTGGGATCAGCTGTCCCATCTGTGTCCCCTCCCAGCTTCTTGTGCACACCCAGCCTATGCTGGTGGGGCGATGGGCCATGATGTTGTGTAAGCACTGCTCAGCAGTATCTAAACCATCCTTGTGTTATCATCAACACTTTTCATTGCAGATCTAAAACAGCACTGTACAAGCTACTGTGAAGAAAATTAACTCTATCCCAGCCAAAACCAGTATATGTCTACCTTTTTAGCTGTGTTTATTCATTAAAAACATATAATAGGGACTTAATTTTGCTATCTTAAAATTTTATGAGGAAAATTATAAAATGTTTTTTTGATAAGGAAACCTTATATTATTATTTTTAGATCTTACTGCTGGGAACATAAACCAGTCCAAAAGTTTCCGGATAAAGAATCTGGAGAAACCTCACAGTGTACGATATGCTTGGATTTGGTTGAACAGCTTCCAGTGTACACTGTATTGAAAAGTCCTTGCTGTAAAAATGCTTGGTTTCATCGAGAATGCTTGCAGGTAATGCACAATCTCCCTTTCTTTTCTCTTTGCATCTATGTGGATCGTGTTTTTGTCATGTTTAAAAATAATGAAATGGTTGCTTATAATTATGTAAAATTGCTTAGGGTTAATGTAGGCAGTAGCTATGGAAATATACTGGGTTTGAAGGACAATGCCAAAAATTGTGTTTTGGAGTCTAGTGTCTTATAAGGAGGATTTTTTAAAATGTGATTAATTTCTTGCTCCTCCTCCATGTTTCTGCATGTGTGATGCACTTAATTTTTAGAAACTGAAGTCCAACTTGCCTTCTTGCAAGTAATTATGTGCAGAATCTAAATGCTAAAAATGTAATTTATCCATCATCAGTTCTCTTTGCCTAAGTTCAGAGCTGGAAAAAGTTAAAAGGTTCATTTTGTAAACTCATTCTAGAACTAGAAAGGTTGACAGAAAAGAATTGTGCTTTTGTTTATGAACTGGATTCTAGCATATGACCTCTTGTGAGTGATTCACTTCTTCTTTAAAGGAAGAGAAAACTCTTGCCACTTGCTTCAATGTCAAGTGATATCATGATTGATGTTGGCTCTAACATCTATGTCTGTACAGTATCCATGAGTGTAGTAGTTAGAGATATTAAGGCATTATTTATTGGCACTTGAAGGACGGTAGTGATTCAATAATTGGTTTGCTTTTTTTGTTGTGTTTTGTTTTTTTTTTCTTGACACAGTATCAAGCTTTGAGTGCTGGGATATTTTTCTTTAGGTGCACAGTATGTAATAACAAGGACAAATTTCAGAAAGAAATGTTGAGGATGGGTATACACATTCCAGAAAAGTAAGTAGTTTTGTAAATAATCATTCTTCTGTAAAAACTTTTATAGGGTGTTAAAACCATTTTTTACGTATTCTTTTTAGAATTGCTTCTATTAATATGTGAAGCCTCAGGTCTACTGTCAGTGGTAGCATTGTTCGGTTGGATAAGAAGTAGCCAGTTTCCTTTTAGTTATGCATCAAAATTGTCAAAGGCCAAATTTTAACTTCAAATATTAAGCAGGAACCTCTGAAATAATGCCATTATACAACCAGGAATGTATGTAAAAGACCAAAACACTTTTTAAAAATACAGTGATTTCACATTAGCACAGAGGTTGCTGAGAAGTGTATTTGCTGTGTCCCAAGTTTTTAAATTATCTGAATCTGAATTGCTGTTTTTCATAAGCTTTCACCATTTGAGTGGGCTCAAAATAGGACAGAAAGTGATCAGAATGATGTTCTCTGTTAGAAGTATCATTCTTTAATAACTATTAGTCTCTTCAAAAACTCATCCCCTCTGGAGACAGAAGCTCAAGCTTTTAGAGAGGAAGAAGACACAAAATACTTGACAAACATTGCCTTACTGGCCTGGAAAATTCCAAGTTATTTTTCATGAGACCATTTTGAGTGGTAACTTGAGTAGACTGCCAAAACAAATCCCTGTCTGCTATGAGAGAGAAGGCAGAATAATATGAAACAGCAAACATGGACTGAGGTCATGTGAAAAATAATAAATACTTTAATCAAAGTATCTGTACACAAGAAAGTGTGTGTATTTTATAGTAGTATTTTTGTTCCTAAACTTTTTTCTCCTCCCTCCCAATTTTCTAGCTGTTGCCTAGGATATTACACGGTTAAAATATCTGCATGTGGTTATTACTTGCATCTTTTTCAAAGACAGAATAATCCACATAAACAACTGGAAATACAGTTGTAGTAACAGATCTTCTCCCTTGTTTACAGGGATGCATCTTGGGAACTTGAAGAGAATGCATATCAAGACCTACTGCAGTGCTATCAACACTGTGACATTAAAAGATGTCTCTGCAAGAAAGGAAGAGACTATAATGAACCTGATAGGTATGATACTTTTGCAGGAAGGCATAATCTAGGATGGGACAGTTACTTGGTGGGGTTTTTTGTTTTTTTTTTTTTATTTAAATACTTTGATATTTTCAGCATCAGGTTTTAATGTAAAACCAAGTCACTATGTCCAAATGAAATGTTTGGTTTACTCCCTATAATTGTGACATTTCAATTCTAATTTTCTCCAGTTATAAAAGCCAAGAATACCAAACCAATCAACTATCAGTTATCTTGTCCTTGTTCTCATTTGTTACAGAGCTGAAGTAAAATACGTACATCCATATAACACGTAGAATAACTTGTGCCTAAACTGGATATTACATGTCTTTCATTCAAAATGTAATTGAAATTTTTAATGATTGTTAAAATTCTTACTACCTTTAGAAGAATCAAGTAAAGTACTAGACTTAGCTGGAAATTAACTAGCTGTGTAAAATCAGTCTAGCTGTGAGCTATCCCTCTGCATGCGGATGGCAGCTAGAGTACTGCTGATACCTTCGTGAGAGGCTTGGGTGATCGTCTGAAAGGCTTTATTCTGTTCTATCACTTAATTTTTGAATAGCAAGTTTACTTTTTGCATTCTTGTTTTATTTCTGTGCTTCTGAAATGTGTATCTTCCATTGGTATGCATATAATCAAAGCTGTTAGAGCCTCTACTTTGAAGAGTTGTTTCTGTAGTACTGTGGTAGGTTACTCCCTGTAGACATTAGCAAATCTTTGTACAGTTCTGACCAAACATAACTTGGTTTGTTCATGGTATGTGTGTCTCAGGATTTACTTTGTGTTGTACCTTAGGCTTCCAATATTTGAACTGATAGCAGGCACATTGTTCTTTGTGTGTTTAAGCAAAATAGAAGAAATGTAGACAAAAACCTCACAGATACTTAAATGCTGTCATTAATGAAAAGTCTTATTAAGACTGTGTAAGAATAATCAGACATGCTCCTTTAAAAAAAAATTTCATTTGGAAATGCTGAATAGTGGGTACCTATAAAATACAAAGGATGTTGCTGGCTAGCAACATGAGGAGCACACTAACTTATAGCCCCTTTCAATACAAGGTGCTGGAACATGGGTAGCTTTGGGTTTTTTCCTCTTACTGTAACCAGGAATTGAGTACATCTTGTCTGAAGAAAGCTTCCCTTGATTATATACAGTCTTACCAGATTGACCGAGTCATGCTTTGTTAGTTTTGTGTCTGGATTACACTTACTGTTGAATATTCTATGTTTCAACTAGCCTCGTTCTTCTGTCGAATTCTAAATACATAAGTTTTTAATTTTAGTAAATGGGAAATAAAGCGTTGTCAGTGTTGTGGTTCCAGTGGAACTCACTTGGCCTGTTCATCTATGAAGTCACGGGAGCAAAACTGGGAGTGCGTGGAATGCAGAAGTATCTCGGCAAAATCAGGTAAAATTATGGATATGACAGTGACTTCTTAAAATGATAAATTTTAATACTATCTATTTTACAGCTAGCAGAATCACTAATTTAATATAATTTAATCATACAGGGAACTACAGCAAACGGAAAAAGCGTTCTTTGGCTACCTCTGAAAAAACAGAAGGGACAACTTGTTTGCTGGAAGAGCCATCTCCAAAGTGCCCTCATCAGTCACCTGGATCTCAATGCAGTTTTCTCCTCCAGTGTGTAATTTCCTGTTCTCAAGCAGAAACTGATTATAACATAAAATAGTATTTAAACATGAGGAGGTGATAGCTTATTCCATAGGAGAAAGTTTTTAATGCTAAGTGGCAAATCGAATAAAAGTGGAGTAAAGTTTAGTGATTGACGTTTTCTGAGTAAGCCATAAACTGTAAATTTGCTGTATGTAGTTCTTCATGTTCAGTGGCATATAAAACAGCTTTTAGTTTGATAAAATTAGATACTTGTAAAAGGGATTCTAACAACTTAGAGGTAACTTTGAATGTACAAATGGCAAAACTTAAAAAGCTGAGTTTGCTTATTGGTATTTTTTCTATGCTAACAGTGTTTCAGTGCTTACAGAGATGTTTATATAAATGTTTTCCTCTGCTGTAATAAGAACTTTTTCAAGCCTGCAGAAACTAATATTTTTTAAAACAGATCCTAAAACCACCAGATAATAAAATACTGAATTACTCTTTAAGATTGTAGTTCAGGCACTGATGAACTTAAAGTAAATGAACATAGGAATGAGATTCAGTATTGAAATAGGGGGAAATTATATTGTTACTTTCAAATAAGAAATGTTTATGAATTGTTCAATTGTATCCCCTCAAATTGCTGTTTTGGCTTGTAGATCACCAAAGATAATGTGCCAGAACAACTTGTCACCCTGCCCAGACCTAGAACTTCCAGCATCCAACAGAATGACCATGTCCTTATCTCCACTGAGGTCAAACAGGAAGTGTTCCCTAAGCAAAAAGTATTTTCTTCTATTTTTCTTACATTGAAGAGTAATCTAGCACATGGCTTTATACCGTATTTCCTACAGAACATGGTGTGTGTGTGTATATATATATATATATGTATATAATGGCTATAAATATTTGTGTGTGTGTATATAGTCACTGGGAAAATAAAATGAGGACTGTGAAGACTTGAAGTCATAACTTAAAAAAGGCTTCTGCTGTTTCTAAATGCCAGAAGGGGGTGAGGAGAGGAATTATTATCTATTAAGAATTTTTAGGTTTGCTAGTGAGTGGGATCAAAATGCAGACATATTTGTCCTTATCAGAGCATGGTTAGCCATTCTTTAGAAAAGGAGGAATAAAAAGAATCCAAATTACTTTATTCAAATTAGACATGTCCTGAATTTTCAATGTCTTTGCATTTGTACCATAAGAATAATTCGTGATCATGCTAAAATCTGTGGTAAAATATCATGTTTTAATATAGAATATACAGTTAAGAATACAGAATTCTTTGTCTTGTGTCAGTACTTAATTTGTGAATTCTATCTGTAATATGTGCTAAAAATTCTAATGAGGAACTTGGTTACTTCTAGTAGGTAAGGTATTTGAAATAGTTTTGGTTGCAAGTTAGAAAACAAAGAAGGGTCTTATGGTCTGATGTCTTATTTTTTTTTAAATGAGAACTGCAACATTTATCCTTAGTCGTGTATTGTTTATTATAGTAACAAAGATTAAATATTAGAGAGTAGTTGGCAGTGTATTCTAACTTGGTTGCAAAACATCTCTTTAACACAAGCATGGTAACCTCTAGAATTTCTCACTTGTATCACATTGTTCAAAGGTAGAATGATGGTGTGAGAATTGTTTTGCATTATGTTGGTGTAATTGAATTAGGAAAATAATTAGTCATTTTATGCCAAGGTAATTATTTCTACCTCCTTTTCTTCTAGTTCTTAGAGGTATTTAAAATTTGAAGAATCTATATCAAATATTTTACTGATATTTTCGGCAATACCTAAATGTACCAAAGTGTTTAAAGAAGTGTTTTTCTTCCTAACGGATTTTAGGGTGTTTTCTGTATAACTGTTGCTAATTATGAATCACAGATTTCATCTGAAAATACACGTGATTTTCTTGTAGGCATTTAAGAAAGCAAAGAAGGAAAGTTTCTAATATACTGAAGGAGTTAAAGCTACAAGTTAAAACAAAAACCACAAGGCTTAACATCAGTGCAGAAAATATCTGGAACGATGCTTTAAAAGAATTTAGAAAGCGCAACTTCAATCCTACAAACACCATTGAAATAAAGTTCACAAACTGCAAAAATAGATCACAGACACATACTTCTGCTGGATCAAAACACCATTTCTTCAAATTACTAATGCTTCATCTTCAAAATTCATCACTGTTTGAGGGCTCTTCTGCAAAGAACTTGTCCCTTGATTTTCAAGGTAATTAAATTCTTTGTTCAAAAATATATTAAGAACTGTATAACTTGAAAGGATTTAAAATCTTTAGCCAACACGATTGTCACTTCACAATTATGGCCTTGATGGATAGAAATTGTTTTTTGAATTTTTTTTGCTTTTCAATGCTAAAGGAAGGAGAGGGTTTGTAATAACAAAAAGATTTTGGTTTAGTTGGAGAAGTTCATGACAACCAAGGGAAAAATACAGCATATGATTAGGCTTGAAGCTTTTTAATTAGTGTATTTGTTCTCTACAAGTGAGTTTCTTTCTTCATGACTCACTTTCTCTGTTACTTATTTTCCTTTCCTCAGATTTCTAGAACATTATCTTTTATAGCATGCCTCCTAAAGACCCAAACTTAGGAGGTGAGGTTAGAACTCAACTTCTTTGAGTTCTTAGGCTTCAGAATTAAATGTGCATTGGATACAGAGTAGAAGAGGAAATTGCATCTCCTCCTAAATATTGATAGTGACTGAAGAGTTGGAATAAAAGAATATGGTACTCCTGTGTTTAATAAACAAAACCACAACACACCCAGTCTTACTATTTCAGCTAGCAGGAGGTGGCAAACTTCATTTGTTGCGTCCGCTAAAGTAAGGACTAGTTGCATTATGTGATTTTTCTATTAAAAAATTGAGGGTGACAAATTCTTTTTTTGCATATATAGTAATTTATTTTTTTCATTTGCAGCTGTAAAAGAGAATCTTTATTTTGAAGCTGGTAAAATGATTGCAGTTTCTCTGGTTCACGGTGGCCCATTTCCTGGTTTCTTTTCCAAAACACTGTTCAATTGTCTTGTCTGTGGTCCAGAGAACGTGAAGCCAGCTTTAGAAGATGTTGCTGATGTTGATGTAGCACAGACAATAAAAATGGTAAATAAAACTAAACTTATTGGCAAATTCTTGTTCACGACTGTATTTGGAGATAAAGAAGGGCATATTGAATGTAACTTAAGTTCAGATTTTAAAAGCTTACTTCTATTTATATATATGTGTATATATAAAAACACACACACGCATGCCATAAACTAATTCCTAATTTTTGTATCCTGATACAGATAAAACATGCAAATAGTCTGTCCAGCCTACAGTCTACAGTACACAACTGTTATGAATTCCTTGCTGCTGCTGGATGTTTAAGACCTATAACAGCTTTGTCTGATAAGAATACACTGGTGGATGATATATTGATCTGTCATGTAATCAAGAGAGTTATTTCACCCTTAGAAAGGTTTGTTTTCTTTCAAGTTTTCAAACCTCCTGGATTTTTTCCTCACTGAAATACTAAATACTATCTTACTAAAACTAACTTTCACATATTCTTACTTATTCTCCATTTAAACTAATGAAATACACTGTAATTTTCAGTGGATTAGTTAAACTGAAAGACTGAAATTATTTCTCTATGTATCCACTCTGTTCCACTTCTCCTTGGTCACATTCCTTTTTCAACCTTATGAAGAGGGCAGATTCACAGTTGTAAACTGTAGCATGACAAAAACCTTTGCACTGCAAGATTTCTAATTCATTTTTAATTCGGAATTGCTCAAGTTTAAAATCTTTAAATTTTAGAAGCGTTAAACGTCAGGAATTTAAATGAGTTTATCAGAGTTGTAATTACGGAGTTTGTGTGTGCATAATGTGCACAAGTGTAACTTGGCCTACTTGGAATGTAAGCATTGCATTGGTGTTCCCGTGAGGTAGTGATGACTTCAAATAGCTGGGAAGGTTGCAGCCATTGAATACTTTTTGATTGGTCTCTGACCTTACTTCCAGTTTGTATTCTTCATCTGCTCAGTAAAAATGCATTGAATGCTAATTTTCCCCGCAAGTATAGTACACATTTACAGTGTTATCTTTGACAACAAAGTTGGGAGTAATTAGTGTTTCAGTTGGGCCTTCTGTGGCTTATTTGACCAATCATATTTTAAAACTAGTAAGATAAAAAGTGCAAGGTAATGAGTAGGCTGTTTGCTTATGGGGAAAATGTAGGTTTGTGTAGTTTTGGAGCTGGACTTAGTGAGTAGACCAAGCACTAGCTTGTCAGTATGAAGGACTTGCAAGTAAGTAAAGTTAGTCATTTTAGCCGTTAATGTTCTACACCTCTGATGTACGCTTTCAACATGTTTATTCTGAATTTTACTGATTCAGCCTATCAATATCAAAGAAATTGAGTGAACAACTTATGTAAAATTTTAATTCTGATTTTAGATGGTGGTTAAATTATAAGGCCAGTGTCATAGAATCGCACCAAAATGGCTACACGCACACAGATAATGAACTCAAACAAGCTTTAATCTGCAACTGAAATGAAGCAGACAAAACTTCATTTACCAAGATAACATCCCACTGACATTTAACAAATACAGGTTCGATATGCTGGTTGGGAATAGTACCAGACACAGCTGAGTTAAGAATTCTTAAGTTTTTGGCCAAACGATCCAAAATGTGCACTCACTCACCTGAGAAGGGAGGGCTCTCAGTCTCGAGAAGTTACCTTAAGTGGAGTCCCAGCTCAAGGGGAGAGTCCCTGATTGCAGACCCACTGCTCCAAGGAGGACTGACTCCAATGAGTGCTCTGATGGGACCCCATTTATACCCTGGTGGAGTCTGCTCTGTGGTCAATACATGGTCGTGTCAGCCCCTGTTGGCTGAGGACCCCAACTTTCCTGCCTTTGACCCCTGTTGAGTGGACCGGACATGAGCTGTGAGGGGGGAGGCAGTCCTGGCACTACCAGGGCCAGAAACTTTAGCACTGTCTTTGTTGGGTCCTTCTCAGGTCTTTAGTCGGGTGGGTGCATCTGCCACAGCCAGTTGCTTGAAATGCTTTATCCCCAGTACAGCTTTCTGGTACATGCTTGCTTTTTCCCCCCCTCATAGTTTTAGGCAAGGTTTGGAAACTCTTGGTGTGCTGGAGAAAATGCAAATACATCCGGATGCGTTCGCTAGTGTACTGTGCCACAAACCTGAAAAACTTTCAGCTGAAACTATTTGTGAACTCTTTACAATCCATTCCTCATCAGATGTAAATAAAGTTGATTTTTGGATGGGTTATTTGCAAGATGTGGAAAGTAAGTAATTTTTTTTCTTTTATCTCTTCCCTGTTCGGGGTATTTAGCTGCTGGTTTACATAGGGTTTGGTTTTTGGAGTTTAGTGTGGTAAATAAATGAATTTTATGATAATAAATGATTGTGAGATCACTGCTGGTTCCTAATTAGTCCTTCTTCTCCCTCTTCTTAATTATAATCAACCTCGAGAGGTGTAAATATCTGAAAGATTGGTACTAAAACTCCTGTGAGTTTTTAAGAAAACACAACCAAGCTGAATGGCACAGAAAAAAGTTAATCCCCCTTTAGCTCTGCTCCGAATGTATTCTTATTAGATAGTGCACGTCTCAAAGATAGAAAACAGTGGTCTCTTAAAGAAGTTTTCTCTGTTCACCTAAGATTTTTCAGAACTAACTCAAGTGGGTTTTTCTTGTTAATTTTTCTTATTTGGCCATATAACTGCATGTGCATTCAGCCTATTGATCTTTAACGTGCAGGATAACGGTTCAGGGGTAACAGGCAATGAATGATACAACCTAATCTTATTTTTCTAGGTGGTGAGTCTGTCGTGACATTGGAGGATATCCTGCTCTTCGTCACAGGCTCTTTTTCTATACCTCCCATTGGTTTTGATCCTGAACCTACTATTAAATTTTTGCATAAAAGGTATCCCGTTGGAAACAGACTTCTTAATTGTTTAGAGCTCCCTATAACAGAGACATATGAGCAGTTCAAAAATACAATGGAGTTCACCATCAGAAACACACTAAAAGTCGAAAAAGAATAGATATTTTTGCTACTAAACCGGATGTTGGAAACTTCAGTTTTCTGCAGGAACGTCTGTTCACAAACTGGTACTGTAATTTTGGACAGCATGCTCTGCCTTTTCTCACTTTTCCTCTCAAGATACACTAAAAGTAGTGATCTTGTAAGATAGAAAACAATTTCCAAATGAAAATACACTTTATATGTTGAATCATCTTCCTGTTTGAAGTCAGCTTTAGACATCTGCAATCTCTTGCAGAAGTACTTTAAGTGTCTACTTTTGCTGTAGACACACATAAAATGTTACCAAACTGTAACATTCTCACTGTTCCCCACAGGTAAGTATGTTGATTGTATTACATACTTCAGTAACTTACCAAGATTCAATCAGGTACATTTTCAAGATAACTGCTGTAGAGCTTTGTTTCAAGTAAGAGCGATGCAGTTCTTCCGTTGTTCCATGTATATTTTTTCAGTAATTTTATATTAATGATTCACTTACTTTTTGATTCATACAAAGCTATGAAAGTTAAAAAATGCAGTTTTAAGATCATTGTGGTTAGTGCATTAACATATAATTAATATCTGCAGAAAACCTAGGCAAAGTAATAAGGCACAAGAACAAAATCTGTTTGAACTTGAGTTTCTGTTAAACAAAATCGTTGATATTTGCACATGTTTTTGCATTCTACTGTTGTACATTAGTTTTTAGTTACACATATAGTGAAAATAGTGAAACCTAGAAGTAAATGTTTAATATGCAACAGTTATCTTTCAAAATGAATATAAGAGTTAAAGTTGTTGAGTATGAAAATATGAAAATGTGTTGTCTGTTGTAAAGTTACTTTGTCTCCACGGAAATCAATATTTTCATCGAAATATGCAAAAACTAATTGTTAAAATAAAGGCAGTCTACCATCAAGCTTGCCAGTGCCTGGCACTTTCCTAGCTTTTAGTCTAAACTCTTCCTGTTCAATTGTAAATATAAAATGCATTTCAGTTCTGCAGTATTTGTATAAATATCTTTAAGCCATAAAAGATTAGTATAATTCCTACATGGTAACACTTTAATGTTCCTAATAGTAAAGCTATGAAACTAAAAGGTCATTTAAGTACAGGTTTTTTAAATGTATGCAGGTGTCTCTTTGGAAATTACTATTTCCCCTCATCAGTTTGACCACCTATACTATGCCCCAAGCAGAACTCTATATGTATCTAGATATATGTATATAGATAGATATGTATCTATATATATCTGCATTCCTCAAAATACTGAAAAGTAATCATACACTTTAATATAGCTCTTTTTTTTTTAGTTGAAAATACAAGCAGAATTGCTTTATTGGAATGCCTTGGCAAGAAAGTAAATCCATAGTAAATTGTAAATGGATAGATGCTTCAAAAAATTAATAAAAAATTAATAATCCAAACTAATCTGGTTTCAGGTTCTGGCTTATGATGCATTGCAAGTATTTCCTTAATTAACAAATTGTATTACTAAATGCTAATTACATAGCAGTACACTGCAACTCAAGAACTGTCACTAAAATGAGATCATGCTATAAAGGGTTGAAAACAAGTAGGCACAGTTCACTTAATAATATGCAAGTGTTTTGAAATCTTTCTTAGACTGCTGCAGCTTCTCTCGATCATGGGAGAGGTGCTAAGGTTTTTTTATGCAGACCTATTTCTGTCAGTGGGTAACAAAAGCATGCATGCTGCTTTTTCATTTCAAAGCCTTTAAGTTACTGCAAGGCTTAGACCAGGCATTTCTCACTACTTTTAAATACCTAGAACAGTCTAATCTCATCAAAGTCCTGTCATTAGAAACTTAGTAATTTCTGAAATACAGACAGGGGTTATTGGTGGCATATTAAAGTCCTCTTTAAAATGTATGAGCTCTTGGAGATTGTCATTTGACTGTTAGCATACTAGGCATTTTCTCATTCTCTTCTGATTTCTTTTCTCCAATAATATTCCATGTTTGTTGTCCTTTTGAAAGTCATACTGCCAGTAACTTCCTTATTATATTCTTACCTTTCAGAATGATGTTACCATTAGAAGGAAGGTGGTGTGTTGCAAATTTATTTGTTTATTAAGGATTCATGTTTTATGTTCATATTTTTAAAGTGTGGCAATGAGTCTCCTACAGGTAGAGTATTGTACTTAAGAAAAAATACCCACTGCAGTATTCCTTTTTTCTGGCCTAGATAAAAATAAATGTCTTCTGTAATATTTTTATGTTTAAGAAGTACAGAATTTACAGATTGTGGATAATTTTAAATGATGATTCTTGAACTTTTGGTACCTGCAGTGACAAGGGAAATTATTTAGAACTTGGAACTAAATAAACTGCATTTTAAAAACTTAAGTAGATAAAGAAATAATAAGTTAATGTGAATATAAGGCTTCAACAAGTGTCTGATATAAAAATAGAGTTTACACACTTTCTATTCCTTGTTAGTTTTGAATTCAGCAGTTCATATGTTTTATATAAAGGTAGAATTAAACTATTTGTCAGACGTTAGTTTTAAAGTAAACTTTAAAATTTCTCTATCTGCTATACAATGCTGTATCAAAACATGGAATTTGTAAAATCTTGTGGTCTCTAATATTTCTAGAAAAGATTTTTCTTATGCAGAACTTGTTCCCATTTTCTAATACTGATGTATACATTCAGGACCAGTTGCTTTTCCTTTCTTGTGAGTATGGTCAGCTCTGTCTAGATATTCTAATGTAGTCCTTGATATATTCAAGTGGTATTCCTAAATCCTAAATGCTGTTATGGAGATAAACTTCCTCTCTTCTGCTCATTTTCAGCATTTATTCATAGACTAACCTTAAATTTACTCTTCACAGAACACAGTATCACAGAACGTTAGGGATTGGAAGGGACCTCAAAAGCTCATCCAGTCCAATCCCCCTGCCGGAGCAGGAACACCCAGATGAGGTTACACAGGAAGGTGTCCAGGCGGGTTTTGAATGTCTCCAGAGAAGGAGACTCCATAACCTCTCTGGGCAGCCTGGTCCAGTGCTCTGTTACCCTCACTGAGAAGAAGTTTCTTCTCAAATTTAAGTGGAACCTCCTGTGTTCCAGCTTGTGTCCGTTATCCCTTGTAACTGTTAATTAAAACTCTTGATAGTTAATTAAAATTCCATTGAATAAGCTGACTTCCAGTCCATCAAAACACAGAAAGGTCTCTTTTGTCCAGAACCTGTAGGAGCAATTTCTGTAGCTGTAATGGCCATCAGGTTTTTAATAGCTATAGCTGGTCACTGACGTGTGCAGTATTTTCAGGTAGTTTTCATTTTACATAAACTTATTTTACACAAACTTTAACCTGAGGCACATCAGGAAGTTGCTTACTTTCAGTGTTTCTGTAACACAAGGAGAATAATTGCATATACATTAGCTCTTGTGCAGTAAATATAAAAAGATGTAACTTTTCTAAAAACAGAATGTTTATCAGGGCCACAAGGGAACTATTGCAGTCCTCTTTGGCTGTGTTTGGCCAAAGAACTTCACCCTGCAGTTTCAAACCCTAAGATACCATTGGAATTCGCACATCACATAAGCTGTTCATTTTCTAGAGTGATTATTTAAACAATAAAAGATTAGTATTGCTCATTTTAGTATGGTCTCTTTAGCACACAGACAATTTTGGAGGTATATTTAAAATGTAGAGCAAAGTATTAATCATCAATTCACACATTCTGCATATGCATTTTGAAAACAGTTTAAAAAACCTTACTCAAATAGAAGGAAATGCAACTCCAGAGGCTACAAAATAAAGTTTGTCTTGATTCTGTATTATATGGTAAAGCATTTTAAAGTTCGAGCTTTACTTTTTTTGTTTTAAGAAGGGGATTGCTAGTTAAATTTAAAAAAAATTAAAATGCAAAAACTTCTGAAATGTCGAATCATGTATACAGAAAGTCATTGCCAAAATCTTCAAGTTTGTAAAAAATAAAAAACCAATAAGCATGAACAATGTTCTCTTTAAACTTCTGGTAATAAGAATATGTTGCAGGAAAGCATACTTTTGTAAATACTTTTAGCTCTAACTTGAACTGCAGGATCAGTCCCTGAAATGTTGCGTCTTCAAGCAACGTTATACTTGGCAGGTGTAGCAACAGTGTTGAAATGAGTAGTAATTGTGGGAAATTATTGTCATATGTTCAAAGTGCAATAAAAGGTTGAATTTATGTTGGAATAAACCTGTAACTTTTTCAGTGTTTTAATTCTGGTGGTTTAATGGGTTTTAGCACTAGAAGTGTTACCACTATTTTCTGTAGTTTCATCTGTCTACTTACACTTTTATATACGTCTATCGTGTTTACCCAGATAACTTTGTATCAAACACGGAACTGGGGTGAGTGAGGCTCTTTCCACTGGGGGGGTTCTGTAAGGACAGCTGTAAAGGCATTTTGCTCTATGCTGAGGCAAAGGCAAGCAAACTTTAAATATTACTCTTTTTCCATAACTCACTAAAACTTGATGACTATTTTATTGTATTTTTTTTAGCTAGCTCGCTGTTTTTGAAACATCGGTTCTTCCCATGTAGTTAATCTAAGTGCCTCAGAGCTGCCCTGGTTGCATTTAAGCTATTTTCCAAGGAGCATTTCAGTCTGAGAGTAGAACTAAAACTATTAATGTGACGTTTTGCTCGGGGGAAAAAAAAGTGGAAAAGAGCACCAGGCTGTTGTCTGAAAGATCTCAACCTCTTCTTTTATTCTCGGCTGGGGATGTCTTAAACCGTAAGATGCAACTTCTTAATTACGGCTCCCTCACAGTTGTGGCGCGGCTGCCGCCAGTGGGGCGGTATCGGGGATCGCGCAGACCGAGCGGGCGGCGGAGGCTCCGCACCTGGGGGTGTCGGGCCACG